ACTGAACTAGTTCATTTTAAAATGTGTGAACTGAACTTTGAACTAGTTCACATAGAAAGAGAACTTTCCCAACACTGTATATATATATATATATAAATTTAATAATAATAAAATAGTTCTCTTAGCTACAAAAAATGATTTTGTGTAAAAACATTAATATATTAATACTTTATTTTATTTTCATTTTATTTATTTGATAAGAGACCATGGTAAGATGGCCTTCAAGGTGTTCTGTTCTACTATGGAGTAATATACTGTGTGCACAGGAGCTATATTTGTTGCTTACATTGATGAATTCGATGTTTGTTATGTATTGATTATCCAACTTCAAGTATGCAGCCCAGTAATTGTACAATTGCTAATTTACACACATATATACAAAGATACTCATCAATGGCTCAATAGACCTTGTTTTTTTTTGTATATACAAAAATATGAAAAAGCAAAAAGTGGAGTGTAGAGTTTCACCACAGGCGATGTTGCTGGCGACCGTGACTTTTATTTAAGTCATCTGAATGAGAAGCAAACACTACAAGAACTAAACAATTTGCACTTGGCTGCTATTAATTCTAAGGCAAAAATAGAAATACACAAACTTAAAAAAAAAAGCTTATGTTAACATTTTAAAACCCTACTCAACTTTTGCTGGAAGTAGACAAAACTACGATTTACTTTAATTCAGAACTGGTAGGAGTAGTCGACCAATGTACCATCATGTTCTGGTGAGGAACGGTTATACCCGCTAAGGAGCACCTGTGGATTACCTCATTTCTAGAAGTTGGACTGCCAAAAAACTCACCTGATTAGGTCCAGGAAACGGATGTACAGGTTCAGAGGGAGGCGTAGTGGTTTGATCCAGATCAGGAGGTAAAGTCTAAAATAGTAAAAAAAAGGAATAATGTCAAAATTTAATGAAGGAAACTGGATTTATCTTTCAGTTTTCAAGTCACAGACCTGTGCCCTAGGCTTTGATGTATGGGGCTGAACATGTCCCCCTGGGGTAGTTGAGCTCTGAGCACTTTGTATGGCAGGAGTTAGAGAAAGGTTACATGGAGGAACCAGGGCATTCCCAGGAGGTGGAGAAGACGTTCCAGTGGGAGGAGAGCAATTCCCTGTCGCCGAACTGTGATCCACTGTCACAGAGGCCGGGAGTGGGTCTTTGAAGAGCGAACGGAGCTTCATGTCTAGGGTTTGGATGTCATCCCTGCCGATCGTCTTAGACTGGACCTCTGCTCCCTCAGACTCCGGGGGGTGTGACTGGGCCTGGGTCTGAGTGGGTACTGCAGTGGGAGGTGGGTGCTGAGAATGGTTGGATGTAATAGGACTAATAAAGGAGGGCCGCTCTGAAACAGAGACAGAAGGAGCTCCAGCAGACACACTGCTTGGCTGTGACCCTGCTACGGCAGGTATGGACGTCTGAGTTGATGGAGGAGAAACCGTGGCGGATGAAGCAGGGAGGCTGGTTGACGGCGGCTGCTGGGAAGGAGCCATTTCATGGGAGGACTGTGGTGATGGACTAGAATCGTTATTCACAGTTTGGGATGGAACAGACGTTGGTGGAGGTGAAACCGTTTCAGCTAAATAAGGAGGTGACACTGCTGCATTAGATGTGACAGAAGCAGAGGTGGAGGCCGCCACCTCGGGAGGAGACTGGACTTTGTTAGAAACATCAGTGGACGGAACTGGGGTTGGCTCCTGCTCAGCTGGAGTTGAATCAATGGTGCTGCTTCTTTCCATTTGAGCCTGTTTGACTTGGTTGAAAGCGTGGCGAAGTGTCACAGTTGGCGCAGACAGCGAAAGACCCAATGGAGCTACAGGAAAAAAGAGCCTGTTTACCATCTGAAATCATAAACCAACATAAAACAGGGGAGATAAATGAACTTTCTTACCACAGGAAGGGTCGTCTCCAAAAGACACATTACCAGAAGCAGCTCCAAAGAACTGCTCTTTAAGACGAGACTCTGGGACTGGGCTCACTATGAATCTTCGTCCTGTTGAATGAACCACCTGAGTTGTGGTGCTGGGGGATATGCCTAATGGAAAAAAAAAAAAACATTCTCAGCTTTTACTACATCACAACTCATCTCCATAACAGGCCATTGAAGAGAGAATGACACTTCTACATCAGTGTGAGCTAAAGCTATGTTCTCATCACTGTCTCAGAACTATTGGGGTGCAGAACGTCATCAGAGCCTAATATTTATGTTGAAAATACTTTTATCTGGCAGTCAGTCAGAAAAAATGTTGAGACCCTTCTGCTGCTCCCTCCAACTTGCCATAGACTTGGCACTAAATATTCTTCCTAACACAATCTGAATTCATATAACCAAAGATTGATTTAAAAAACTTTCCTTACAGCTGCCATTACCATTACTTAATTAAAATGTTAGTGACTTTTATTACCAATACCAGCATCATTATGTTCCACAACTACACACTTAGCTTAAAAAAATGTTTATACCAGCAAAACTGAGACTGGATCAGAAAGAAGTGATTCTACATCTTGAGAATTGGAAGTGAATCCTGAAACGTTAATCAAAACCCAAAAACATCAGGCCCTTATATTTATATCTTTGCTCCAGCCTTACATGAAATTCTAAATGCAAAGGGCAAATGAATTATATGTTTATATAAAGAAGTACTTTTAATAGATGAAACTGAGCAAAAATTAAACACACCAATTAACTTAGGTTGAATTTGTTTGTTTACCTGGTACCATGGGAACAGTCAGCTCAGGATTTTGTTGATTACTCATCTGTGAAGTGACACAGAATGTATTCAGAAACATCAGATTCAGCAAACAGGAGTGAAATTTGATCATTCATAGTATTAAAGATGTACCTGTGGGAAGCCATCTTTAATTCCGGCTCCCTTCTGATCAGCCATTTCTATGACCTCGCGGACCTGATCAATGAACGACTCCCGCTCGCTCTCCAAAATGAACTCACTCTCAACCTTAACAAAAAGTTTTTAAAAAGTTTACCATTGTGGGTCACCCTTTTCTTTTTAATCATTTCTGGCTAAAAAAAAAAAAAAACAGATGAAAAGTCTGAACATGTCCCCCTGATAAAGGACATTTATAAGTAGATCCAATTTACCATGATGTGTGCAATCTCCTCTGGGTTATCTCCATCAAGATCAAACCTGAAGGTTACCATCTTCCTGTTGTGGGTTTCCAGTTGGCACTCTGCGACTCGGTCTCCCACATTAGAAATCTGCAAAGGATTTCAGGTGAAATGGTTTGGTAACAGAAAAACAAGTGAGCAGAAACAAATGAGAAAAAAAAGCAGGAAAACTCCCTACATTGAGAACATTAAGCTTGGCCTTCCCAGCCTTCTCATGGCGGGAGCGACTACGGACAGATCGCCTCTGATACCGCTTCATTGAGCGCCCCTCATGGCAACCCCTAGACGTAGACCCTCCATCGTTTCCATCGCTTAGACCCGAGGCATCTGACAGGCCGCTAGAAGAGACAAGTTTAGGCACAATGAGCAAACTGTCTGATAATGATGTGCTTGGATGATGTGTGAATGGAGGATATGATGATGGTAAAAGGCGACAACAACCAGCTTTACATTGGCTGAAGAGACTATTGTTTCATTTGAACATATTTTTTTTACAGATGTTTTTCTTTATATTTAACAGACAGGAAAAACTGCAAAAATAACCCAACATTCCCAACAAAACAATTGTTTTCTTTTTTTATAAGAAACAAGAAATGAAAAAATCTATACCTCTCTCCAGGTGGTGGCACCAGAGCAGAGGATGCTGCCATCTGATCTACTGGTGTTGAGAGGGGAACAGCCACAGGACCCTAGAATACACACAAAAAGTAAGGATTAAATTTGGTATAATACGCATGTTACCACATTGATTCGAGATGAAAATTTACTTGGTAAACTCCAATGAGTCATTACTGACATTCAGCAAATGAACGGACATTCACAGTGAAACCTTACAGACAAACCTTTCAGGTAAAAAATATCCAGGTTTCCTACTTGAGAAAAATCAGACTTTTTTTTTTTTTAACTAAAACTATAACAATGCTTAAAAAAAACATATACTCTTATCCATCTTCCTCTCTGTCAATTGTACTTTCTTGCACTGGCTTTTATTTTTACTCTAGTTTTACTCTAAAAATGTTCCCAAATGCCAAAATGAAGATAAAAACTCTGAAGAATAATTTTAAAATTTAGTCCATAGCCTTTGGATGAGCTTCCCTGAGATTAGCGGCAAGTTTTCTCCAGAAAACTGCTATTAGATTTATATTAAGAATTGCTTTTAATTCTCTCCCCCACCCCCCTCCCCCCATGTCTTTTCTAATTATTTTTCAATAATGTTTTCCTGATTTACATAAAGGAATGGAAATATTTTATTGTTAAATCTGTTTTGATCTAAAACATGATAAATTAGAAAGAACCTTACTAATATTACTTCTGAAAGTATCACATTTTTCTAACTATTTATAAATTGCTATATACTTATACAGATACATGTTTCCTTAATATACTTCATGAAATAAAATCTAATTTAATCTGACAAATCTGAATAACTTTAGCTGGAACTCTATTTGGCCTTCATTTGATGACATTTGAAATCTGTTTTTGATTATCAAATCAGCAACAAAAAAATAAAGGGAACAAGCAAACAGCATTTAGGTTCAGCAGAGGCGGACACACAATAATCTTAAAAAAAAAGAAGCATATTTTATTTTCTTTAAGACATCTGGAAAAGACCAGAGAGCAGTTTACTTTCAGAGAACCGGTTAGGGATCAATCGAGTTTCAACAGATGCAATTATTCATCAGGCAAACATCCTTGATCTTTCGATCCGAATCGATACCACTGGATAACAAGTGTTAAATTTTCAGTTTTGAGACAGAGTTGACCAGGTTTCCTCTCTCTCAGTTAAAATTACACTCCTAACGCAGAGGATGCAAATTCTGACAACACCTTGTCGAAATCACCCACCGCTTATACATCTATAGCAGTCCTTCCATATCACCAGAGTGCAGACTCTCCCATTGTGAAAAAACAAATCTCTTTTCTGCAAAACTTTGCAGTTTGATTTGCTCCATGTCTGAGCCATGTTCTATATTTGACATATTCCAGCTACAGTTGACTAAAGACATTCTTCTGACATGATCGTTCTGACGTTCTGTCAGCTTGGAAGGTAGGTCGTCATGACAACAGACTAGCACAAGCCTATTACTAAAGCTTGCATGAAGCGCACCAGACAACGCAGTTAACATTTTTTTTATGTCTTTCTCTTTACTAATTGGTGTATTAAATGAGATTTCTATTTGTTGCAAAATGTTTATGATTACAATATCAAGCATTTACAAGCACTAGACTAAAAAAAATCTATTATATTACAAGCCTAAAAATCACAAAATTAAATTCAAGCATTTCAAGCACTGTATGAACCCTCTCAAAAGATACACTTTCTTGAATTGTACCCTTTAAAGTTTTTAACCAAGCTCTGAAGTTTCCTCGATACCAACCACCAGATGGAGCTGCGTAGCAAAATGAAAACGAACAGGGTACAGAAGGAGATGACATGTTTCTACTTTGAGGCAGAAACCAGGTAGCATTATCCAACACACTTTATTTACCTCCAACTACTGAGCTCATTTACGTTTATAGGTTACCTTATTCTACTTCAGGCTTTTAGGGGTTATATCAGTTTGAAGCAGATATGTTACTCCAGCAAAGTCTTAATAAAAACATGGATAAAGAATCCATCTGTCCGTTTCAAGTATTATTTCAAATAAAAGCCTTTTAGATTAAATGATATAATATATCAATGTTTTCAGAAGATCTTTTAGTGGTTGAGGTTTAGAGAAAGGACTAAACTATACATACAGAACAACAAATAAACAACCTCCCAAATCTTTCTCTGAATGCAAAATTTTTTCCCCGCACTCAAGAATAGCTCTAATGGTGGAGGATTTTTAAAACTGCGATCTCAGGATACTAGAGATATAAAACTCTATGCACAGCAGCTGTTCTGTCTGTTTGGCTGCAGCAAACATGTAACTGGGGGAGAACACCTATGAATGTTTTGATCTTGCTGGCTAAATAAAAGATCACATTTTCAAAGACACCTGAGATCCAAAATAAGAAGCACCTGCCGCTTGCTTCCAAATAAACATACCCTAGCTTAAAACAGGCCTAGCTGCCTTAAACAGGCGGCCTCAGCTCCCCCAGTAAATCAGGGCTGACTGCCTGAGGAAGGCTGCATTGAAACCACAGCTGTTTGTGAATCAAGTGTGCACCACCTGAATGGACACAAACCCAGCTTCTAGACCGGCAGCAGCTGCCACTCAACTCACCGGCCATATCTGACATCCTCCTGCTTTTGTTGACAGGGAAACCTGGTTTAGGATATGGCAACTTAATATGGTTAATTTTGCTGTGTTTTCTTTTTTCAGTGAGCCTGAAACTTTAAATTGTTTCGTAATCTTGATAAATGTTGAAGACTCCCTTTACTGAAAATGCTCTTATTCCATTTCATTGCCTTTTTACCTCACCTTCTCTCACTAACCTGGTTAAAATAATTATATGAAAGATAAGAAGAAGGCCCTCATTTTCTTCCAAAAACCAAGGGTGGTCTTATGACTGCAGGTCCATACAGCTCTTACAAAGATGGTTGACTGTGTCTCCAGTATATCAGCTGCTAAAGCTCGCTCTGTCTGAGCTGTGATTAGACGTAGCAAATCGGAAACACTCAAACACAATCAATATTTGTATTAATGGTTCTTAAAAGGTACACGTGGGACTTAGAGCGGTTGCTTAACAGCGCAGCAGCCTTGATTTTAGCAGCGACTATAGCTTGGGGTATATTATCATACTTGCAATCACAAAAGTTAAATTGTGAGTGTACTTTATGCTTTAAGAAGTTTATCATTTATTGTATCATTTAAACCTCCTTAAAAGTCCACTGTCTTAAAGCTTTATGTCTAAAACATTGTCTTAGTAAAACATTATTCCTTTCTCCTTTGAATTGAGAGCATTTTTTTCAGCTCGTGGCAAATGTTCTTAATTTATTGTAAAGGTATTTTAACCTTACCATTCCTCAAGACAAACTCTGGCTCTTGAAAATACACATTCATTCTCTACAGTGATGTCACAGGATGTTTTATTCTTTTTCGTATTGTATTTGTTCTCCTTTTTCACACTTTAGCTACCGTATTTTCACGACTATAAGGCGCACATAAACGTCTTTTTTTTCCCTCAAAATGTGCGGTGCGCCCTTTGGTGCGGTGCGCCCTATGTGTGTTGTAACTGCGACGTTTGAGACCACCTCATTGAGGAGATGATGAAAGAGTGGCTGCAGCTCGAGATGGAAAAATTGAAGTTTTGCTGCTGGACGTGCCGCATCAACCAATCAGAGAAGCTGATCTGGGAGCTGACAGCGAGACAGACACATCGCTCTGATGACATATGATATTAAAGCAAATGAAAAGGGCTGGATGGATGAGGAGATGATGAAAGCGTGGCTGAGGCAGGTGTATGTAAGGAGACCGGGTGTTTTTTTTCCACGCATCACCAACCGGCCACTGATGACCGCTGCGAGCGGCGTGGGAGCGATGGATGACAGACGGAGACCACAGTTTCATGAAAATTGGAAGGCAGCGCCGGGCAAGTTACGCCACAGTTTGCGGATGGATTGTAGATGCGTGGGCTAACGTGTCTGCTGGCTCTGTTGTTCAAGCTTTCGCAAAAGCCGGCATTATTTCTGAGGAGCCGCCCGGCACGGAAAGTGACTGACAGCGAAGAAGGGGAAATTGGCATGTCTGATTTAGCGCAGCTGTTTAATTCAGAAACAGAGGATGATGACTTTGATGGGTTCGATTAATACTTTGTAATAAATACATGAATAAAGCACAAACATACTCAGTTTTGCTCCCGCTCTATTTTTCTACCTGAAAACTTAATTCAACAGCAGCCTCTGGGCCAGGTCTCCTTCGGGTTCACAGCGGCGGCTGGCAGGTGTTTTTCATCTAAATAATCTAAATCTTGCAGCTATATTTGCTGTGATCAGTGGGAATAAAGTAGTTTTAATATGTTTTTAAGTGAGAAAGTCCACCTGAAAACTTAATAATTGCAGTCAGTTCATCCAGATTATCATTTCTGTCGGAGGCGCTCAGACTCCCACATACCAGCGGTGCGCCGACAGTAGAAATCCCTTCAACAGCAGCCTCTAGGCTGGGCAGCCTCCAGGTTCACCGCGGCTGCTGGCAGGTATTTTTCATCTAAATAATTTAAACTGCAGGCACCAGGATACCGGTAATAAAAGCGAACATATTCCGTCGGCAGGTTTCAGGATTTTAAGTTAATTTAGGAGTAATCACAGTGCTCTTTCATCAGCAATGTGTCTGTCTCACGGCCAGCTCCCAGGTTTGATTAATACTTTGTAATAAATACATGAATAAAGCACAGTCATACTCAGTTTTGCTCCCGCTGTATTTTTAAATACGCAGAAGAGGTATTTAAACGTGGTAGAGGATATGTACCTGTATATAAAAAAACGCGCCCTATAGTCCGGTGCGCCTTATGTGTGTGTTAAATACAGAAATGGCACACATAACTGAGACTGCGCCTTTTAGTACGGTGCGCCTTATGGTCATGAAAATACGGTAGTAGTTTAGTTGAATCTTGCCTAGTGAAATGTTTTTTTCTAACTGGAAGCAAGTATTTTTTTTTTTCAAAAGATCTTGTATTTGGAGGGAAGTCATTTGTGTTTATTCAGTATGTTTGCGTAGAGCTTGTTGGTTGAGATTGCCTGAGCATGAATTCGCTCCATCTATTGTTCTACAACACCACACCTTACCAAGCAGGTATTTATATAGCAATAACTGTCAGCGACTGAGGGCTGTTTAGCAATAAATTACTGATAATCAGGTGATGTAACCACTTGGTAATTTTGATTAAAATGAATGCCTTCATCAATAATTAACTTTGGGTAAGTATTTATAGTTTCAAAATAAGGTGAAGATAAAAAAAAAAACTTAATGTGCTGCATTTAAAAACACACCTAATAGATTGAAATCATAATATAACCAAACTATGTATATAAATGTAAAATATTATCTCCGGAACAGGTATTTCTGCCTTAACAATAAATACTATCTGGAGCCATGCCAAGTGGGAGTAAAAGAAATGCTTGATGATAAACTAATTCTACCATCCACACAAGTTTGCTTAGTGCTATGTAAAGTACCTGCAAAACAGAGAGGCACGAGGCCTGATAGAGGAAGTATAGATGCTCTGCGTTGATTGGTGGAGACATGATAGGAGGACTTGGATTGCACCCCCAATGCTAAGAGTCATGCAAGAATAAGGAGCATGCAGAAGGAAAGAGTGGAAGAGAAGCGATGGCACAAACACAATAAAAGGCGTCCGTGTTCATGAAAAGCAAAGAAATAAAATAATCAAAACAATAGTAGACAGAAAAACTTTCATGCAGAATTAGAAGAAAATTATTTATACCTCAGCTATACTACAATATCTGACCTAATACAGCAAATGACTGCTGGTTTCTCTACATAATTCATAATAAAAGATTTAATTGGCAACTTAAGAAAAAAATGGTGCATTTGGAACCAAAATCAAATTAAAATACAAGTTTCTCTCGGGCAATTATCAGAATATGGCTAACATGTACACATTTTAAAAATATGTTGGAGTCAGACATAAAAAATAAAAAGAAAGTAAAGCAAAATGGTTGTCACCTGTGGCTGCTGGGCTCCACTCTGAGCTTGGGACAGCGAGCTGCTGCTCTCCAACTGCTGCTGGAGGGGAAAGAGACAGAAGATTGGGGCATCAGGACATGCTGTCAGAGAATGTACACAAATAATCAGAAATATACACAGAAGACCAGAAACAGAAAGCACAGCTGGACAGGGGAGCTGTTAAAACACAGACAGGAAGAATGCAGCTCTACAGGTATTTAGGGCTCTTGGTGGAGGTATGGCTGCTCAATCATCTGCAGTACATCAGTGACCTCTGTGCTCTTTTAAAGTCACATGCACTTACCTGTCGGATAACATAGCAACACGAGTCATCTATCATTCATCCATCTGCAGTCAGGTTATTATCAGGCAAAAAAAACTAAATCTTTTGTTTATCCTTTTTTTTCTTCACACATTGTATGCTACAACCAAGTAGAGAGCTATAGGGGTCTACAGATTATTACAGAAATGTTCTTTTAGTTTCCCTGAACATGTTTTCAATAGCCTAGGGAAGTATCAAAAGGCTGTAGCAGGACAAATGTACATTTATCTACCTGAGGAGGAGTCGATGATTGGTAGTAACCTCCATACTATAAAAAAACATAAAAACATACAAAGTAAGAGCAGCGGACCAAATAGGGAAGTCAGATTCAAGGAAGGGGAGAGAAACCAGACAGGAAAGCTCTGATCCTGCCAGCTCTAGCCATACCTCAACCAGTAAATGTGGAGCTTGTCAACTGACCACCACTTAAAGGATAAACCGTGCACTATAAATGGTTAAGATATTCACTGTGTTCAGAAACATTTCTAAAAGCTACAATCTTATGTAAAACAGATTTGACCTGAGTGTAAATCTGTGAAAAAATGAGCAGTTTCAGATTTCACAATTATTCTCTGAAGACAATGTGGAACACAATATCATACCTGCTGAGGTGCAACTGAATTCGACTGGTTAACAGATGAACTAGGAGGTACTTCTGATGGACCGACCTGCACCTCGGGTAGAAAAAGACACCATGTGAGAAATGGACGAAGATAAAAGCTAATAAATTAGGTTGTTTTAGTAAAAACGCAAAGGATAGTGATTATTACAGGCTCAACACAAACATGGCTCGTTGGTTTTGTCATTCATGTCACTAAGTTTAACTGTGTGAATAAGGAAAAGGAACCAGAGGAGTGACTTTGGGTTTACCCCACATAATTGCTTAACAAGGCTGATGCAGCACTGGAGAATTTTGAAAGCACAAAAGAGAACACATGAATGAATCAAACATAAACTGAAAGCGGGAATTACAAATCCATATAAATCACAGTTTAGTAGAGGTTAGGTGAGGTGTATGTAAGAATAATGATCCTCTTTGTAAATTAACTGCCCATAACTACTTTCATTTCTACAGTCCAAAAAGTGGCCAGCTGGTCTTTAGATGAACAACTGCATTGTATCCAATTCCCAACATATTTCTTATCACTTTATTAGACTAGGACAATCATAACCGATAGTTTCCTTTTTATGTGTAACCTTTGGATGAATGTCCTACAGATAAGATAAAAAATAACTGCCTGCAACTCCCCTAAAGATGAGGAAGGTTTCAACAGAAGCTTATTTCTTTTATCTTCTCACCGTAGACAGCTGTTGCTTTGTTTCATTTTGCATCTGTGGTTGAAGTTCCTGATTTGGAGTACTGTAAGACACATTAGGCTGAGGTGGCAGGGTCTCAGGAAGCGTTGAGTCACCCATGTCCCGAGCTGAAAAAGAAGACAACACAGTGAACTCTTCAATCAGCAATACTAAGAAATCTTTTTTAGCTCTTTGGATTAAGTTTTTATTTAAGTTATACCTCCGCCAGACTGCTGTACATGTTGGACAGACTCAGACTCTTCAGACTCAGGCTGAAGGCTGCTGGAACTGGAAACCTGGACTTGCCCACCTGACTGGGGAAAATTAATTGCCTGGGGGACCCCCTGGGACATCCCAGTAGTATTACTGGATTGAGTCGTACTGAAGTTGGGGCTCTGAATGCTCTGTTGAGATGCTGGTTGGCTGCTTATCTGTGAGCTGTGTTGGCTAGGTTGAGGTGCAACATGGGATGGGTGCTGTGCTGCTGGCTGGGACTGAGACATCTCCAACCCGGCCTGCTGGCCTACTTGTTGTGGCGGCAGTGAGTGGCTCTGCACTTCCTCTTCAAGACGTTTCTTCTCCTGATCTTCTCTGACCTTTAAGAGAAATATTTTAAAAAAGGAAAATAAATCAGTACGTTAATGTACTTCAGATTCCTCATTAATACTGATGGAAACAAAATGCATTTGCCTTCACAGTCCTAGTGCTCATACCCTAAGTCCTAGTGTTCATACCCTAAAGCAGTATGAACACTCTTCTAACCCAATATACTCAAATACAGACACTTCTACAACAATTCAAGAGAATGTAAAGTGAAAACAGCACAAGCTTAGACACACCTGCTGCCGCTGCGCCCTCTTGCGAGAGATCAGAGAGACCCTGTCCTTTATGGCCTTTGCTATGGTCTTGTGGTCTCCTTCACAAACATAACCAGATTCAACCTGCAGCAGAACGATGAGACATCTTTTTCAGTGAAAATGTTAAAACATACTCTCAATCAGCAGCCTTTTCACGCATAGATCCCAGTACATCAGTGAAAGGCTTGTCTTTAACTGTAGTCAAGCGTTCGTAATGCTGCCTTTATTTCCCACACACACAGAGGTACTAAAACAATGACAACTGTTGAGTAACAAAGACAGCCTAGAAAGGGAATATGTGTGAAAGGCTGTTCAGAGCATTAAAATCAATTCAATTTACCATTTCCTGAGCCACAACGTCAGGGACATCTTTGTTGAGGTCAAAAGAAAACTCTATAGCTTCGTTGTCTTTGTACTTCCCCTTTAGTTTCTTTATATCCTCAATTCTCAGCCAGAGCTTTATGGCCTCCATCACCCCATCATCCTCTTCAGCCAACTCCACACGCACACCTGTGTCTTCTTGGAAGAAGGCATGGTTTAGGAGATCTTTGATAGAATACCTGATTGGACAAAACCATGGAGGGAGTGAATGTTAAAAAAAAAAGAAAAACAAAAACAAAAGGATTTAGCATAACTTTAAGGGCTTTCTAAAGTTAAGAGACCTCTCATCCTTGTTCTGACGAATGCATCCCTCAATGATTTCCTTCACCTCAGGAATGGCCACCTTGTCGAAGCTGCCTGGCTTCACCCCCTACAGAAAACACAGATCTCTAAATGAAAACCATTTTCAATGGCTGGGATTTTTCTTATCTTAATTTTTCTTTGCTTCTCGTTTAAGTTTTTTCCCAATTAAACCACAATTTTTTGTTTTTTCCAGTTTTAAACACCACAAAAACTTCCAAACATTTTAAGCTAATTTCCCCTAAAAAATGTTAAATAGGTTTTCTTCTGAAGTATTTCCAATAGCCTACAGAGGAAAAAAAAATGATTTTGCACTTGAGTTAAAAAAAAAAAAAAAAAAAAAAAAGCCTCAAAGATATGGACCTTTGCTTATTTTCAACATAAATACAGCTTAACCTCCAAAGATAGAATTACCCAGAAGACATTGAGGAGGAGGGTGGCGGTAAAAACAAGGGAGCACAGCTAAGACATTAAAAATATTAAAGTAAAAAAAAAAGAAAAGAAAAGGAAAGAAAAAGAGAAACTGGTTTAACCTCCTTATACGAGAAAATGTAAATGACTCATAAGCTACTTGACATTCCAGAAGTTTGCCAACACAACCGGTATGAATAAGACTAAAACTATGCAGATCTTTTATGAAGGATGCCATGAAAAATTTGAGCTTGTAAAAAAAAAAAAAAAACTTGACTGCTATTTTAACCATCTAGTAAGCTTCACCTTTGTCATATAGTCAACCTAAAGAGGAAGCATCAACAGAAAACAAAAGAAAAAGCCAAGTTAATGGAAGGGGTTTTCTTGTGGGGAAAAAAAGCAAATTTTCCTCCAGGAAGATACAAGTCAAATTAAACTGAATATGAATTTTAAAAATGTGTGGGTGGGAATTACAAATTACTCCAGAGATACAAGTCTTGAGCACACAGAGGAGGAGGTGAAGGCATGGCAGAGACGTGACATATAGTGCCGATAAGAAGACTTACGCTGGTAACTCTGCGGTAGATCTGTGCAGCGTTCTGGCACTCTGAGTACGGGTACTCGGAGGTGGCCATCTCCAGCATGCACATTCCAAAGGCATAAACATCCACTGACTCGTCGTACTTCTCCTCATACATCTCAGGCGCCATGAACTCAGGGGTACCTTAAATCAAAACAACTATTCAGAACTCTCGAACTCCCTTACTGATTGTGTGGGCATCTCATAACCCATTGCTCCTCTGCTCCTCTAACCCACGGGGTTGAGGAAGAGGAGGATGAGAAGAATGATGGGTCTGCTGACATCTCCTGGAGTAGAATCTGTGAGGTGAAAGTTGGAGGAGAGAAATAAAAAAAGGGGGGAGGAAAGTAAAAAAAAGAGAGAAAACAAAAAAGGGGGGAAGCTGAGCTCAGTTAGACTGTATAGAGGATTGCACGTGTTTGTCTGTGTAAGACCTTGACGTCAAGGAATATACATGTGTGTGACTCGAGGAAGCCAGTGTGCAGAGCACACCTTTTGGCAGGAATTCATTTTCATCACTCAAAAGTTAAGTATTGTTTCAGCAACTTGCTTCATATAGCAGCATAAATATTAAATGTGGCCAATATGCCAGTTTGCTCTGTAAAGGAAATAGGACTAGCTATGGAAGTAACTTTTGTCAAAACCTTAAGTAAAAACAATGATAAAATGACCTATTGCAGAACACTCACCTTGCGCGTTCTGACCTACCACATTCTGTTTACCTGCAGGAGGAAAAGTGTTACAGTAAAGGCTGACAAAACCAGATCCCATAGCTACTTACAGAGCTGAACAGTGTGCCCTGCCCACCAGCCTTACTAAACTCAGTATTTTAGATTTAGTCGCAGGTCTGACACAGAAAAACTCATTTGGATATTTGATTGTAATGGGTTTTGATATTGATGCATATACAGCACACTTTCAAAAGACTTACCAGGCCCATAAAAGATACTTACTCAATGACCAGCAGTACCCTATTCATTCCAAACAGCAGAATGGGGCACAGCTGAGGCTAGAGCCTACATTTTAAAAGCATACTCAAGAATGTGAAAATAAAATAAAATAAATAGGGGAGAAAAACCAAAGACAAAGTTCTGAGAGAGGCAAAACAGAGAGAGCTCCCTGGACAGAAAGATGGAGCAAAAATGTTCTGCGACCCTGCAATAATTTGATAGTAAGCAAGAGACACACACACTAGGGGGGGAAATAAAACAAAACCTGTTGAGGGAAACCCATAGAAAGAGATGTTAAACAATATATGTACAACTGGCAAACAGACCACATATTTCCAAACCACAGGACAAAGACCAGTCTAAGACACAAATACCTAAGGCCTGAAAGAAGGCATGACAACTACTATTATATTTTATATTAATCAAAAGCAGTAGAAAACATTAGGCGCTACTTACAGTCAGTAGGTGCCTGGAAAAAAGACTTTTTCTTTTTGAACAGACATAGAACAGAGATGCTCTGTACATCAACCAAATGCGGGTATGTAAGGAGGAAAATCTAGGTGCAAATATGCCACAGTATTTGGCCTCCATTTGAGCTGTGGTTTGTTTTAGAGACAGATGAAACACTGTGGTCTGTTTTAAACCACATTGTCAGAAAAACAGTTTTCATAAAGAAATTCTATTCAAAACTTTAGAAAAAGATACCATCCCACATGGATCAGGAGGCTGAAGTGATCTCGGGTTCATACCTATAACACTCTTGGCGAATGATGCTCGCTTCAGCGTGGCCAGTCCCAGGTCTCCAATCTTGACAGATCCCGTTGGGCCTGTGATGAAGATGTTGTCACATTTGAGATCTCTGTGGATGATAGGAGGAGTCCGAGTGTGCAGGAAGTGGAGTCCTTTGAGGATTTGCCGACACCAGCTGCGCAGCACTTTAATTTTCATCACCTTGAACCGCTTTAGATATCTGCAAGAGAACATATCATTATTTCTATAAGCCCTATTTGAAGCACTGAACAGACATGGATAGGAGGTTTTCTCTTCTTTACACTTCTTTGTAAAGGCAGATAACAGAAAATGTAATTTGAATACTTGCTCAATATTTTGAATTGTACCATAGGTGTAAATTATTTGGGTAAATCATCATACTTTGTACAATTTAATGTTCTTTTCTCCATTTAAAATTTGTTAAATAAATAATCATTAGCTGATTTTTAGGAAGAGTTGAGGAAAAACACTTTAATAAAAAAAGAAAAAAAAAAACATGAGCTGTATTGATTTCAATATTGGCCCTAGCTTATTTTACACAAGTCCTGTTCACACTGATAAATGGATCAAATTTCAGACTCACGTCTTGAGTGTACCAGAGGTCATCAGTTCTGTAACCAGAACAATACACTTCTTTCCTTTGGATGGTGCCTCCCAGGAGTCATAAAAGCGAACAATGTTGGGATGTTGTAGTCCCTTTAACATGCCAGCTTCCTCCTTAAACCGTTGCCGCTCTGTCTTTGACAGCTTACGGTCCTATAAACACAACAAAAAGGAAATATTTTAGGACCTTTAAAAAAGCAGCACAAGAAATCATAGCTGTACATGTAAACATCTGACAACAATTTGCCATAAAAACACTGCTGATTCACTCTGAAAAGATATTGTTAAATATCAGTTTTTAAAAAATGAACTGTTTTAGTGTCTTCATGCACCAAAAATGTAATTGTGTCCAGCTGTGGTCAGAGGAATGCAATTCTGCTTTGTCTGGCAAAGAAAGGGGAACTCAAAGAATGTGTGGAGGTTTCATTTATCCCATCCATTCATTCAAACCAAAATATGAAGAACGCTGGATTGAGAATTATAAAAGAGCTTTCAAAGTTCCTTTATTTATCTATGCTAACAACAATAAAAAAAAAGCTATCACTGCCTGAACAAAGAGACTAACACAACTAGAAGAATAATAGTTCTGAAAAAAAATACATTTAGAAGATTGTTTGAAAGTAAAATATACAAGGATTTGTATGTTAGATTAGACAATACAGTCAAATAAATAAATCATTAAATATATAATTTAAATATGCAGTGCAGTAAATATTAAAGATAACGAGAAAAAAAACCTTCCCTGTAGTTTGTATCCAATACCAATGAATGTTGAAAGCACAAGTATTTTAAGTCGTATGGAAACAGCTGATCAGACCATCGCATTTCTAAATTCTCCTGAGGCCTGCACTACTTTACACAAGTCAATGTGATCGGTCGTTTATCAAGGAGGCGGGATTGTTGTGGCGGAAGGTTCGCAAGCAAGTTTGATTGTGTCCGTTTTCTTGTAAGCATCTTGTTAACAAGTTAGCAACTTAGTTTTAGTAGGTTTCCAATGGGAAATTCCATTGGGACCAAGTAGCACTAAATTGGTCACTTAGAAATGACACTGTCAAGGAACGCTATGAACAGAGGAAACATGCAAGAGGAGGAAAGTTTTGCGTCAGAGGACGTGGTTGAGTCTCCACCGTCATACATTTTTTATTTAGAGGAGGAGAGTGGGGACGAAGTTGTTGTGGAAGAAGACGCCAGGGCGGCAGAAGCTTCATTTGGTGTAGCAGGCTTACAGCCGTACATGTTTGACCCCTTGCCTCGCAATGCTGCCAGTTCTGTTAGTTCTACGCCTGCCAAAGACACAGATGTCCATCCCCCTGAACACTGGGAACTCAATGGTAAAGTAAATGATTTTTATTTCAACCATTGCGTCTATTAGCTGCGGCTAATATACGCAATGAAGATGAATCAAGATGCTATGACCGAAAAAATGTGATTGTCAGATGACCATTGATATATGATTGGCCGAATTTAGGTGTACAGGCTGACGTATTATTAACCGGCCTGCATAAGATAACGAAAAGAAAAAAACCCCACAGATTTTAAGACAGGATTTTCTGTTTTAAATAGAAATGTTCTGATAAAGACGATTGGACATTTAAATAGGATTTCCCTACCACTTTAAAGTCTTCGAAGTTCTGTTCAATAAAAAAAAGCTTTCAACAAGAAAAAAAACCCCTTATCAAGTTTCCTGAGCACTTTGTAGCATGACCCACATTTAGTTTATGACAAGAGAGCTGTAAACCAGCTGTTCTTGAACCAACCCTATGAAACCCTGCAGCCAGAGACCTCCTGAAGTCCCTGGACACCTGGCCACCAGCTGAGCTGTCCAAGAAATTCAACCCATTTGGAATAGGATGAATAAACTTTTGGCTTCTACCAAGAAACACAAAATTTTAACCCCACAAAAGAATTACTTCACCACAAATAAATGAATAACTATCACAGCATTAACTGGGGACATGTCTGAGTTTTGATCCAAAAGAAGAAAAAATTGGGAAGCTTATGTGGGTAAAATAAATGGGGTCGCTAGACAAAGAAATACCAGGAACTAGAGTGAGGCATCGGACAACTAGGCAAACTGACCTACTTTGTAAAAAATTATCTATTTATCTAGTGGGGCCATGGCTCTCGCCCACTGCTCACCATGTCAAAACAAGAATGCAAAACATCTACAGCAGCACATGCCCTTTTCAAAGTTCCAAGGCTGTACATAACACCAACAAAAAGCAAAGAGACTGAACTTTAGATTACGCCATAAAATAATAATAAGTTCTATATATTAAGCTGGTTCTCAGTCCTGGTCCTCAAATACCACTGCTCTGCATGTTTTCAATGTCTTCCTGTTGAAGACCACCTAGTTCAAAAGGTTGCATGACCTCCTCAGCAGCGATCAAGTGCTGCAGGAGCCTGTTAATCATTTATTCACATAAATCAGATGTGTGGCAGCAAGGAGACACCTAAAACACACAGGACAGGAGCACCAGGATTAACAACCACTGCTCTTCTACAAAGGCACGCCAAAAATAATTTATTTAGATTTAAAAAAAAAAAGTCTATTCATCACCTTTAACTTGTGGAAACTGATAGTTAAATAATCTAATCAATTATCATTTTTACATGAGATATTCCGCAATAGCTTACTGTATTAGAAAAATATGTATTTATCTTATCTTTGAACAAATACAAAGAAATCTCAAGCGTAACATTCTGTTTCATGCATATGGTTTGATCTGAGAGAGTAAGAACAGAACACGGTTTTCAACCTTTGAAATGTTTTTTCTGTACACATACAATCTGACATAATTATAGTAATGATAATAATACAAATACTAAAATTATTTTCTAGAAGTGAAGCATTTTCATTCAGCTTATATTAAAAAAAACTGAACTACAAAGCAGACTGGAAAGACCAGCTTCTAGGCAAAGGCCATCATAAATAATCCAACAGCCTTAAAATAGACTGCAGGGAAAAAGGACTGTGATCATGCAAACATGGTTGGATTGATGAAGTTTTGTTCTTAATTGGTTGAAGTAAAAAAAATCCTTAAATGTTGGTTTTACTTTTTTAAAAACAGTTTGAGCATGTAAATAAATATTATTGTTTCCATTAGTTTGAAATACAACAGAAGCATCTTTCTCTATGCAGATAAATTGTAAGCAAAATGCAGGCAAACACAGACCAATGCACACAATTAACAGGAAACTAATATTCTTTTAACTCTGTTAACAACAGGAATAGCATAATGAGGCCATTATGACCAATGCAAAAATAAAGTAGTTTATTTTAAGGAGCATATAAACTGTGTTTTTGTTACTCTATAATGTTTCTGTTCAGTTGAATGTTAAATAAAATGTTACATTTTATGTAAGACACAATGTGCTGGTTTGTATTAATCCCCACAGTCTGAAAGAGGCAAAGATAGAATTCTCCTTAAATTTAGTCTAAAGATCGTCTGGCCTTCGTGTTTTTTTTTTTTTTTCAAAAAACCACTGATAATCAAAAGTGTTGAGAACATAACATGAACATCAGCAGGTCCTTCTTCAACACCTGTGATTTTTTTCTGTAACCATAGGTCAAACCACCCTCACAGAAGGCCTTAGTTCGAATCCTCTCTAAAGTTAAATGACTTGCATGGTGACTCAACACAGCCTTTTGGCACTTCCTGTCATAGTCACTAGTACTGAAAAAAGGCCATTTTTAGCAACACATTTTTTTCTTAAAAGCTAGGTTAGTCATTGCGGCTGTTTAGGTTTAAAAGGTCATGGCCTTCTACATATTTCAGCCAGAAGGGGACCCAGGACTCCACATAATGCTTAATCCCATCAGATCACCTTTCTGCTAAAAATGAAGGGTTAACACAGATGCTACAGAGTTAATACAGAAAAATGTTCATTTAATGTCTAAGATTTGAGAAAGCCAATACTGAATTATTTGATAATTAATCATTAATTTCAAAAATATTTCATGAGACATGTTTAAGGTATTAAGGGCCGGATTTATCAAGATCCAATTTTGCGTGCAGTAATTTGCGCTCGCAAACTGGAATTTTGCGCGAGGGGCTGAACCATGGTTTGCGGGT